TGAAACTAAATTTTAGAAATTGACTACCTTATGAAGTAGTTTCATCTGCAATTAAGTCTTAGTATGCTTTTAAAACGGGTGATCGGTTCACACACGGTGTACTTTCTGTAGTAATAGTGTACCGCATGCAGACGAAGACAGACAAGCCCACCGACCCCCTGCACGCGGAACTACAGTGTGCAACTACATGAAGTGAGCGGCGTGAATCGTACACCTGTAATCAGCTGTACTCAGTTAGGGTAAAGTAAAAGAAGCAGGGCAGTTTTAGGTTTATGAAGAAGGAGGAATAAAAGGGAACCTCGAATCAAGAGGGAAAGGTAGACCTCGAGGTTGATAGGAAAGAGATAGAGGGAGGGAAAAAGAGTCTCGGTAGGAAGTGGTGGTGATGGTGAGGCCTAGGGCGGTAATGGCGCTATTACCTGCAGCGTTACTACTCTACTAATTGCACAGCACAGCCTTGGCACGGCCCATGCCTGGGTGGGACACAGGACACGGGACACAGGGGCTGGGCGGCCAGCGGGGCGGCTCGCGTGGCGGCCAGCGGGTAGATGGCAGACCACGACACCAACACAAGGCTCTCCTCTCCCACAGCAGCGGTCCGTCGTCATCCTCCTCTCCGTGTCCCTCAGCAGCAGCGCGTCGACCGGCAGCGGAAAAGGAGAGGGAGGAGGAGTGAGAGAGACAGAGAGTGAGAGGGAGCTTGAGATCTACTTCTACGCGCTGAAGGGGTCTTCAGGGTCCGTGGTCCGCCCGCTGGCCCCGCCGCTGGCCCCGCCAGTCGCCGGCCGCTCTTGGCCGCCGTGGGGGTTCTGGTGCGAGGAAAAGGAGGTCGAGGAAGGGATACTGGTTGTCCTGTCAGACAGATCTTCCGGCCCGTCCTCGTCACCACCAGGATCGCCACGCTCCTCGTCGGCGTCCTCGTCATCCCCGTCGCTCCCCGCGGTCAGCTGGGGGCGGCGCGGACCAGAGAGACGCGACGCGAGGCGGCACAGGTCGAGGAAGGGAAGGTTAGTGCTGCTACCACTACGACTACTGCCGAGCGACCCTTGAGGGGGCCGCTGCAGCGATAGGGCTAGGTCGAGGAGGGCATAGGGGCCGAGGTGGCCGAGAGACAGCGAGAGGTCGACGGGAGCGCCGTCACTATCACGAGAAGTAGTAGAAGGAGGCAGAGGGAAATGCTCGCCTTGATGTGTGCGGACGTGCTGATTGAGGATGGCCTTCTGGCGAAAACGCTTCCCACACTCCGGGCACTGGAAAGGCTTCTCACCCGAGTGGATGCGGAGGTGCTGGTTGAGGATGGCGCGCTGCCTGAAGGTGCGATCGCAGTAGACGCACGCGAACGGCTTCTCGTTGGCGTGGATGCGCAGGTGCTGCGTGAGGTGCGACTGCTGTCGGAAGCGCTTGCCGCACTCTGTGCAGCCGTACGGTCTGCTGTCCGTGTGGATGCGCTCGTGCTGCAGCAGCGTCGACTTCTGCTTGAAGTCCTTGCCGCAGGTCAAGCACTTGAAGAGGCGCAGCTCGCTGTTGGCGTGCTTGCCTTGCTTGCCCTGACCGCCTACGGCGGCGCCGCCGTGCTGCTGCTGCTGCTGCAGGATGTCGGGCATCCCCCGCATGTCCTGCATGTTGCCGTTGAAGTTCTCGGCCATCACCGCCTCGGTGCCCATCGGCCCCAGGGGCGTGAGGAGCACCCCCGGCTGCTTGAGGTAGTGCATGAAGCTTGTGGGGCTCATGACATGCGGGGGCGGCCCGACGTGGTGCCCGCGCGGGGAGTAGTGGTGGCCCAGGTACTGGTGGTGCTGCTGCTGCTGTTGCTGCTGTTGTTGCTGCTGCTGCTGCTGCTGCATGTCCACGCCCGGGGTGACGGAGGGGTTGTAGCACCGCTGCACCTCGATGTCCGGGTTGTGCGGCGGGGACAGCTCTTGGTCGTGTGACGATGACGGCTGCTGAGGCGTCGGCGCCTGTTGGGAGGAGGGGGGCTGCTGCCCGGGCTGCTGGGGGGTGAGCGGCGGCGGCGGCGGCACCTGCACCGGCTCGTCGTCCCCTACCCCGACTGGGTGCGGAGTCATGGGGGTCATGGGCGTCATCGGCGTGGGCGGCACGTCGGGGACGGGCTGTGGGTACGGAGACGCCACGGGGGACGTGAGCGCGCTCTGCACCGGGCCGTCATCGCAGAGGGGGCTGCCCGACGAAGGCTGAGGGGTAGGGGGTTGTTGCTGCTGCTGTTGTTGCTGCTGCTGAGGTTGTTGGGAAGGTAACTGCTGCTGCTGCTGCTGAGGTGGGAGGTAGCCGAGGTCTTGAGGACCAGAGGGTGGTCCCCACTGGCCTCCTTGCCCTTGCCCCCTCTCCATTCCATCCTTGTAGAACACGTACGGCTGCCCCGTCTCTGCAAGAAAAAGAGTGAAGGTCACGGTCAGTCATAACGCAGCGCTCAAGGGAGTACATGCTCTAAAGGAACGTAGGTACAATGGTATTAGAACTAGAACCTCATACATGATAGAGGTAATTTACAGTGCTAAGTTCAAAGTGTACCATTTCCCACGTAAATCTTGCTCAGAAACAGGAAATATAATTAATTATTTTTCCTCATCAGACAGCAAACAAGCAAAATGAAACAGGAAGGCAGCAGCACCCTTTCACTCACCCTGAGCTATGCAGTACATAATCTGCGGGGGCACCTTGAGACCTGCAAGGCACGCCGCAAACGAGGCCTGCAGGTTGATGGCCATGGCTGCTGCAGGCACCGGCCCCTGCTACCTGTCGGAAACCTCTCGGGGACTCCCTCAGGCTGGGCTGCTACTTCTCCAGGAGTGCCGCGTGGGTAGAGCTGAGTGCGGCGATCTGGGCCCCATGGTCGCTCGGCCTGGGGGAGAAAGAGAAAGAGAGAGAGTGAGTTGGTGCACGCGTGTTGCCGGGGCTGCCCGGGCTGCGGCGGGGCCCCGTGGCTGCGGGCGCGGGCGCGCGGCGGCGTGCGCCTCGCAGCCAGCGCTAGGCAGCCCAGGGGGCTGTGCGCACGGCCGCACAGCGCGAGGCCTACCCCGCCGGGCGCTCTCTAGCCGCCGGGCTGCGCTAGGTCGCGCTAGGCTAGGCGCTGCTCCGCGCCACGCGCCCGCCTCCACGCCGCGCCACTGGGCCTGCCAACCTTTGCGCGGCGGACCTGTCAGTTTCATAGTCTGTCTACTTTGCCGGCCGCACCTGTCGAAATATCGATGCCAGAGGTCGGTCGCGACGAAGATTACTTATTGAAAAGACAATAGGTATATTCAATTAAGATCCACGCTCGGCGCAGCGCGCAGCGCACGCTCCTGCAGGCGTATGAGGGGGCGAGCGGGGAGGCGGGGAGCAGGGTGAGGAGTCGCCGACGCTTCCCCGCTCCCTGCCCCTCATCCTGCCACGCTTGCAGGAGCAGGAGCGTGCGCTGCACCGAGCGTGCGCCGAGCGTGCGCCGAGCGTGGATCTTAATTGAATATAGCTAATATCCTCACAAATATCGTAACCCTGTCTCTGCCTCTAAATGATTTCCCAATTTTCCAGTCGCCATCATTGCAGACGAACACCAGAATCTAGATTTTATGCGACCTCAATATTGGCGTCGCGCTTTGTCCTGTCTTTCGGGCGTCCATGTGCTGTGTATGTGTATGTCGGGCGCCCTGCCACCTCTCCCGCCAGAGCACCACAAACAGCACGCGCCACCGACAAAAACCAACAGCCACCTCGCACCTCCCCGGCCCGCGCCGCGTCGGTCGCGCCGACAAGCAGTGCAGCGATTCACATAATTAAAATAGAATAGGGGAGGCCCGCCGCAGGCCTAGGAGGGGAGCGGCGCTCGGAGCGGCGGCCCGGCTAGTAGTTTATACACTAGTGCGGTGGGTCAGTGTCAGTGCCACGCCACGCCCCCCCCCCCCCTCTATTACAGTTTAAATGAAATGCACCCCAGCGCTAGCTGGCCCGCGGCCCGGCCCGACACTGACCTACCCTCGAATGAAAAGCGGCCTGTGGCTGCGAGGCGTATAATTGGTGGGCTGGCCACTAACCGACGTGCTTGATAGAGTGATAGTGATAGTGCCGAGGAGGGGAGCCGCCGGGCCGCAGGGGCGCAGCAGGGGCGGGGGCGCGCGGACATGTGTCGCGGCAGCACCAACAGGGGCGTGGGCGAGAGCTGCGCGGCCCGACCCCGCCCAGGCTTCAGGACTGGACTAAAAACGACGATATGCCCCGACACTCGCGGTGCCAGTCAAAACTCCGGAGGACACGTGCATTGACGATCCTCAGCGGGCTTCTTCCAGTTTAATAATTTCAAACTCTATTATCGTTTATGAAACACAACTTTGAAACCGGACAATGGCGTAACAAAGAAGAATTTGGAAAAAATTGTAACTGTTAACCAAAATTTCAAGAGCAATACAAACGTTAGTTATTGAAATGCTTTGCAAATAAAACTATCTAACAATATGCCCTTTCGTATCACATTGTTTAACTTTTTGTTTTGCATTTTAAATTGCCAATTTGTTATAGTTTGATTTGCATTTTAATGCATTACAACTTTTGGTGATAAAACCAAACAACAAATAGAGGACAGCTGTTTGTGGTGAACCTTATATTGTTTTTTATCATGCTATGGTTATGCGTGGTGAAGAACTGTACCTAGCCTAATCAGAGTATTCAGACATCTTATAGTGTACTTTCTATTGGCCTATTGGCTAACCTAGGGCAAGCGTCCTCCCGGGCAGGCCATACGACTTGACCATCACACGTCCCTGTTTGGCTAGGTATACGGGCAGCATAGTACGTCGTTACATCATCGACAGAACTTTCGTATCAATGGACCCTTAGTGCTCTTCGCGGTTAGAGAAGAAATGTGGAAAACAGAACCGGACGGATCAATTTCAAAGTTGGTTTGAACAAGTTTCCGCTGCGGTTTCACGTCTGGTTTCTGACTTGGTTTCTGTTACCACTTGAATGAGAAGACGAGGGGCAAGGAACTCTGTAATTTGATGGTGTTTCAAATGTATACGCCGAAAGGCGTTTGCTACAGGATCCCGAGCGACATCTTTTGGCGTATGAGGAAGTTGCCCAATAAGAGGAACAAAAAGAAGGTAGCACTGAGGAGGTGGCGTGGCGTAGTGCCGTCTCTAAACAAAGAGTGTGTCCGAATTCTCGAATGTGTCGACACTTTGCGATTCGTGTCGACACAAATTTGGTA